CCGAATCACGATTCGAGTTCTGGTTCAGGTTCTGCTTTTCGTGGATCTTGCACCATATGGATGGACTCTTTTTGAGTGGCCTCGTATATACGTTCCAGGAAACGCATTCTCAAAATAAAATATAACCACCCGTAAGGTTTGTCTTGAACGGTTCTCCATAACGATAAAATAAAACTGACAACGTCGATATTTCAAGTTCGGGTAACTCTTACTGCTTTTGAATAAAATGAATCGGTATTATCAATTTTTCTTCAAAGTATTATTAAACTGTTCTGAACTTTTCCATTTTTCATATTTTTCTAAGTTTTCTGAAAAATGTAAAAAATTCAAAGGTAACGTCCTTTTCGTCAAGTTAATTATTTTCTATGCCCACTCCAATTACTTAAGTTTTTGATCAGGAGTAGAGATCTTTTTTCACGTGAAACGATAGCTCATTTCTGGTTTCCTCTAAACTTTTGGGGTGCAGGATCATCATTAAAATTATAATACGAGTTTTGTGATGGACAGGTTCCTTTTCGTAGGACTTCCCCAACGATAAAAGCTACGCATGGGGGCTTTCTTTCTGCTGAATCAAAAGGGTTGGGTGGTCCTCGCGACACGAGTAGTACGTTCCATGGCCTTTCGCCCCATTCTATCTTCTTCCCTCCAGTTCGTCTGGCGTTTACCCTCTTTTTCAGCTGCAGCTGCTTGGCACACGGGCCCCACGCCATCTGCCATTAAAGGCTACACATGCACACGCGCCTCTAACAAGACCCCAAGATTCGTAATGGCTTTGCAATACTGGGTGTACCAAAATTTTTACCAATATTTATTTATAAAAATTAACACCACAGGTATGAACCCCCGCAGTACTTAAAGTGGTAATGTGAGGGTATTTGAAAGTTAACACACTGCTAAAATTACACGTGTACTTTCGTTCTTATCTATTATTCAATCCTATTTGTAACGGTACGAAGTGTATGCAAATTAGGGTATCTGCATAAGAGGTTCTTAAATTTGTTACGCCACTTCTATTATAAATTGTTTACATCACATTATCTTTACCAATAACCCTGCTTATTATTTGTTTGACAGGGTGAAGTATAATCTGCAGATAAAAATTTTAAAAATATTATATAAATATTGATTATAAATATTTATAAATTATTAAGCAAATATTATATTCATGATAGATCTTTCATCATGTTCTTAGGGAAGGTCAACTGTTTTTATCTTATCTACCTAATCACATGGTGTTTACTAGTAGGAACGATTTCGTGTTATTAATAGTTAATATCATTAACCTTTAACTGCTATGATGAAATGAAAATATGTCATAGTAGGATTCCTTCTTGAATTATTATACGTGCCATCTGTGCGAGAACAGGAGAACTAGCTGAACATTTTAAACACCCGATAGCATAAAAAATAGGTAGCAAATTTCCAATTAATTAAAAGCAAACAATAGAAAAATGGTTTTCAATCCACTGGTAATGTAAGGTAGCAAACTGAAAGCTTGAAGTTCGAGAATTATAATCGAATTATAATTAAAATTTCAATACGTCTTGTAACAAATGTACTTTTCCACTGCAGCGGTCAACATGTTTAAATGAACCCCGTCTCTTGAGTCCAGAACTAGCCTAACAAGCGTATTCATCGCAAATTTTAATGCATTCACGGTTGTTCAATCTATGACAATAGCAGCTCAAAATCGTATTCATTGTGATCATTTTTACGCAACGAACTTCACTTACAATCTTGTCACGGGAGTTGCACAAAAATTTCCATAACAGGCATTGAACGTAGTGAGAGTTAGGGGTTTAGGGCACGCAGCCGGCACGCGACATAGGAGTTGCAACAATAGATGGATCACTAATTCCCATTCAACTGTTCTCAGCCGTAGCTGTGGACGTTGTCAAGAAAAGTTATTCTTCATCATCCCCTCCCTTATCCTGCTCCCCAGCTTGCAACTGCTCGAGGGGTTAACTTGCAAATGTGTGCTTGAATTTTTCATAAGCATTCAAGAAATTGTAACCAAATTTTTGCCACAATAGTCATTCGTCCTTTCACTGCTAAGAAAACGAGATCTTACCCCATACATTGGACGATAAGAAATATTTCAAAGATCATTTTTTTTTATTCTGTGTTCAACTTAGGCAGTTTATTTCAGTGTACTTTGGTAGTATTGATAGTACATCTAGTATTATCGATGAGTATAATATTCTGAGGTAACTTTTTCTTGCCCTCTTTTCGCTATGATGTACAATGAGTACTTTTGCTCCATGCTGTACCTTTTCACAAATCTTTCAAATTGTGCTACCAATATAAGGAGTAATGAATATAAATAATCGGGAGTATTGAAAATTCTGAATCGTCTAATTTGCAACTTGCAATGTCTTTGAAAAACTTAAAAAAAAAAACTGCAGAAATTTCTATAAATCGCCCAGTCCGAAACAACAATGCTCCCATTCATCTTAACGATATTATCGATCTATTGAATTATCGATAGCAGTATCTCGTCTACAATTGATGAATCGAACCCGGGATTTAAATTTCAACTCGGATACTCGTTTTCTTCTGTTTACTATTTACCGATCCGTCTCGTTAAATATTTGTATTTACGTGGATTATTGGTCGGTTAAGGGGGTGAGGTGGCAGGGAAAGAGAGAGGGTTAAATCAAGGCGAATACTCGCGCCGAATGGGTGGTTGAAACTTTTTGGAGTTTGAACGCAATGCGATTTTCCAGGAAAGCCGTGACGGCGACGCCAACTTCCCCGGGCTGAGCGAATTGGTCTCCATGGAAACCACCCCAAAGCCAATCCGGGGTGCATTCGTACGTACATTTACCCTTGTCGAGGTGCGTCTGCAGCACCCCTCCCTCATTCCCTTCTCTCTTCGCAAACTTGCTACCCCTACCTCTCCTACTCTCATCTCTTCCGTATTGTTCCCCTTCTGTTCGTCTCGAGCTATCTTTTCCTCTTTGATATTCACCACCTTATTCCCCCCCTTTTTTTTTCATTTTATTTCATTTCTTCCTTACGTCTCTCTCTTCTCGCTATAATTCTCATATTCGATATCTTCGCTCTCGTAACTTTTCTATTCTTCACACGATCCAAAGAGAACCTTTATCTTCCATTTGTCTTTCAGTTTCAATTTGATTTTTAGGGGATCGTTTTTTAACATTCTTTTTCGTTTTCCATTTAATTCGTCTGGATTCTTTTTATCATGCCCTAAATTCCTAACTTTCTTTGTATTTTCAACCCCTATTCAAAGCGTAATGGTTTATATTTTAAAACCTTTCTAAAAAATTATTCTAACTGAAAACAGAACAAACTACATAGAAATTTCTGTACTTCCTTTTATACGTATAGTAATATACATTCCCTCTTTTTTATTTTAGTTCTGTTTCTTCTGCTACTTTAAATACAGCCAGCGCTCATTTCCATATTTTCCCTTCCACTCCTTGTTTTACATTGTTATTACCCTTCCGTTTCACTCTTAATATATTGTCTAATATTTGCAGTAGAAATGTACCGAAAATTTTAACGAACCACATTTGTAAGGTGATATAAATCCAATTTTCAAATATTTCAAAGTTAGCAATCGTACATTCACTCGATAGAGTGTTTCTGCTAGTGACAGGTCTAAAGTGACATAAATCGCTATTTTCGATGGAGAATAAAGAGATCCATAAAAAAACAATGGCGAGCTATAAATATCTGTCCTTTTTTTTTGTTTATGTATCAGTGTCACATCAATTGGAAACATTGTTAACAACAATTGCTTTTCATTTTTTTTCTTTTACTCTCATTTGCTGTTCTCAATTTTCGCCAATCGACTTCTTTCACATACGTTTTTCTTGCAACTTCTCTTCTCACTTCGGTGTCTATGCCGTTCATTTCTTCTTTTTCACCAATTTCTGACCCCGGGGACGCCTTATTGGCGTCGAGCGGATTGCCTGGCACGATGCAGCCTTACAGACGCTGTTGCGTGTCTGATTGCTCGACGCCGAGCGTTTAATCGAGAGACTGACGCCGAAAATGGCTTCTATCACATTTGATAAATCCGTCACTTTCATTTTATTTCTTTCTTTTTCGAAAATGTATCCGTTTCGTTTTTCCCCTCGATAATTCCATCCTCAAAAGATGAAACAGCCTTCTACCTTGACAAGTACCTATACTTTTTCTGTTTCCTGAGATCTTCCAGAAAAATTGATTTATAATATAATTTGAGAAGGATTATTTCAGTTTGCTTTAATAATAAGATATCACCGTATTTTGGAATAGAAACGAGATTCGTGTTCCAGAATAAAAATTCTAAAATTGAAAAGTTTCTTTTCATGAAACTCGTCGTTATTCACAGTAATGAAAAACTTCTTTAATTGAATCGTACACAAAACACACACAGGTTGCGCATATTAATCGCTTTATTCCCGACTCACGAAATTTATTCCCGACTCACGAAATAGGTGTAAACTCCTTGTCTTAGTAATTTATCTACTTTTTTCTCGACAATGAGGGAACAAGCAATCTGAGTCTCTACTATTCCATGGAAAGTTGAATCTTGTTGTTGAATAACCCTCCGTCCGACGTCTCGAGGGTTTTTAAGTACTGACGCTTTGTTACTGAAAGAATGTTTTATTCCTGAATTTATTGGTTCTAAACTACTCAGCAAAGAAAGAGAGATAAGGGTTTCGAATAGACGTCGCTTTGAAAAGGCTCGCCCTAATGAGATCGAATTTAGCTCAATACCGATATAAATAGAAGCTGATTTAACGAAGAATTTCTTTTTCCATTAAAATGTCGTTTTGATTTTATGTTGATTAAGCATTAATTAATCGACAGCAATTTAACTTATAATTCTTATATCCAATTATAAGGAAACAAAAATAGTTATTAATCACATTGTTTCTTTTATTTATTTTCAACATTTACACTAAAAATTAATTTAATTGACACGATTATAAATAAATAAAGAAACAATGAGATTTACAACTGCATTTGTCTTTTTATCATTGGGCTACCAAATTATAAATAAATTATTTGACAATAAAAACGATTCAATTCTTTCTTCGATTTATAAATAAATGTTTATCTAGAGTGATTTGCAAATAAATTGGCACAGGGGAAAGAACGCTAAATATGCATAATTGCAGTAGATGTGGTACCGTTGTGTCGTCAGATATAACAAGTGTTCGTTTTCTGAATGTTTTATTCCCGTTGCTGTCGCTCGTGCGGTTTATTTCCTGCTGAAGCACCACTAACGAACCAGAGATAATGGATTCTCAAGGGCGTTTAACTTTTAATTTTTAAAACGTTAACCACCGTCTACCGGGAATTGGATGCGCGAAACCTAAAAGTGCATCACGATCCTCTTTCACAAGCATTTTTTCTATTGATCCTACTACGTACATGTAAAAGCAGTTACATTTCAACCGAATGAGTTAATTTTGCAGTATGGAAAGTACGAAATTATTAGATAATATTAATTCTGTAATCTTCCAATTTCATTTCTATGCACATAACCGTGCTCCGAGTTTTAAAGGGGTGCATGATACCAAAGTACACTGAATGAGACTAAGTTATCGAATGATGGCAATGTTGACGTTGATTGAGCGTGATGTTGATGTTCATTGAGCGTAAAATATGGAATTTGCGTCAATCCTATCATCAATATGCATGTGTCAACAGCAAATATTTATCATTATAATGGCATAGTGTTGCAATTCGTGCCATATGAAGATTATCAATGAAAGAATGACGAATATATCGATGGATCTTAATAAGGAACCACTATCACAGGGGAACCGATTATAAACCCTGTATCTCATATCTTTGTAGCATCACTTGAAAAGCCTCGTAACTCAGTTTTCACTACTTTTTTTTTGCTAATTATTAAATTGAGTAAAAGAATTACATACTGAACTATATTTTGGTGCTAATAAAAAAGTAGTACTTAATCCAAAACCTGTCAATATATTTACCAACTTGTGTTTTCATACTCACGACTTTTCGCTTATTAAGACATCGCAAGGAGAACTGACATGTACGACGCTGAAGCTCTCATGATCTACAAATGAAATGATAAAATTGTTAATTTAATATTATTAAAAAATTTATCGCGAACATGTGACAATATTGATACAACAAATTCATAAAACTTCTTTGGAGGTCATATTGTTAGATAAATAATGCAGGTAATTAAACATAGAACAAGAGGAACTTACGTTCGTAAAGTTCTCGAAGGAGAGACGTGAAAATTTACCAAAAGTGAATGTGAACCCCTTTTGAGATCTTAATATCACAGGTATTAAAAGTTGACTATCGTTCGGGTGTAAATCGTACCAAAGACATTTGTATGCTGTTTCACAAATCATTTGACTCTAAAAATAGAAAGAAATAGCTTTAAGACGACAGAAGAAAAACGTGATTGAAAAGAATTAAATAGTGTCGATTGGAGCACTAAGTGATGTAATATGTGGACACCGGAAGTGGAGGCGTTTCACTCTTCAGAATCATCTTCATTTCTTTAAATGGAGTTGCGCACTTTATGATATATCAAACGAAGCATCTTTTTATTCTCTATAAAAAAATATGTAACACTTGGGTCAAAAATTGATTATTTCAAAAGAGAGAGACAGACAAAGCCTAGTCAATTTTCCACTCAAATATCTTCATACTTTTTTGTAAGGAATTAAGAAACGCTTCGATTGATGCATCGCAAAGTACAAAAATTCCAGTTTGAAAATTATCAAGCGATAAACCATACTATTTTACATAGGTAATATGTTACTTATTAACCTTGGCGCTGAGATATTCTCCAGCAAAGCAATATGTATACGCTTCCATCCACATAACAATGTAGAACAAGAGGGATTTAATTAATAAAGGAACTCCTCCACCAGCACTGACCGACTGTAATATAACTAAACGAATAATTAATTGTTCATAAACTGACAAATTATAAATACATATTTTTACTTACAATTACGATAAGAAAGCCCAAACAGCAAGTGATCAGAGTATTGAACAGAAGTTGGCTGAGTGCTATGTAAGTAAAGTATTTTTCTATTCTTTCCGTAAATACGATGACATCCTGATGACGGATAATAAAAAGCTTTAATTGTTCTTTATCTTGTGGAGAAACATCCATTATTGTCTGGCACATGATGTCGATTTGGTAGCCAGCATGAAATACCTGTAATTAGTAATTTTATTAGATACAAAATTTTAGAAATGAATCAAATTTATTTTACACTCACCACCATTAAGACGAGGGCACTGAAAACACCAAACGAAAAGGCGCAGGACGTTTGATGAAGAAATTGTGCAATTACCAAGAGCTCGTAAGTTGGTGACGTATTGGTTTCGAAAGGCAAATCCATTTTCAATAACAAAGGTAACGATTCGTTCCCTTCGATACTGCTTAAACTTGCCGCAGTACCAGCAACATGAAAAATTGCAGCCATCGCGTAGACAGAAACTACTGTGGTTGTCAAACGATAAGAGAAACCAGCTGTCTTCAACAGCAAATTATTAGTATCCAAAGAAGCATATTTTTTACATCCCTCTTCCATGGTTGATAAAAGTTTACAAAGTACACTATAAAATATTATTCAAAATAATATTATTTTCTTTTTCGTATTCTTATGACAGTAAATGGATCTGACGGCTTCGGATTGATGGTTTATTTAATTTAATTGTTATTGCTTAGACGTCCTTTGATACTTTTAAGGTATTTAGAAAACGAGCAAACAAATGAAATACATTTTATAAATAAAAATATAGGTCAAAGCATATAAAACAGAATATTAATTTTATTTAAATTAATAAAACCAGAAAAACTCACTCTTGATTTATCCATGCAATAATCAATTTGATATTCGTCTGAGTAAACGCCAGGATGATACACACATTGTCAATCGTTTCTACAAGGCTTGCAAATTGAAAATGCTGGATAATATATTTGTACGCATACGTTTGAAACAAAGCCAAGAATAATATCCAATAAATTTTATGAAACATTGGAAATGGTGTTCCTGGCCAGACACCGATGAAGTGAAGACCATATTTAACAGACGGGCTAATTGTACTCGTTACTTTCATTTTACACAAAACTGTTCTTACGTTGCCTTTATCCTCTCAAATTTTCCTTTACAATTCACTGGCTCATATTAAACACGAACCATCTTCTGTTTTACTTTCACTGGTATCACTACTGTCACCAGTAGCGGATTCTTGAACGATCAACGTGCTTGAACAACGATCTACGATAAACTGAACGCTTCGAAAAAACTTATTGCGTGATGCACATGCTTATGGCAGCTGTCGCGTTGCAATTGCATTTTCCACATAAATTTTGCAAATAATAAAGTACCGATTCCGTGGGTACAGCAGAAATCGAGGGCTGAGTTGTTGAAATCACAATTTGAACTTTGTTGCAATGATGAATGATTTCCATGAAAAATATAGGGTACACTATGCATACGACACGCAAGTGCATAGTAAATCAGAGAGATCAACAATTTATTAGATCGCTAGTGGAAACGTCGCATTAGAAAACTTAAACTTGAATACCTAAGTGTCACTTAATACTTTACCAAACTGAAGACAGTGAAACGTCTATCTGTTTGATATGTGCGCGTGTGTAGTTTATTGTTAATTATTGGCTTACAGATGATAAGCTTAGTTTCATTTATATATAAGTGGATTTACATCATAGTAAATGTTTATTAAATGAAATTTTACCAGGTGAAGTATTTATAGATTTATCTATATGCAAGAAAACTATGCATATACTATTTGTGAATTTCACATTTCAAGACATTGCAAGAAGAAATGACACATAGGATGCCGAAATTTTCATAATCTATAAACAAAAAAATGGTACTATTACTTATTTTACTGTGTTTATATTCTATGTATAAAATTTTATAATATAGGTACTGATTTCACATATTCGATGTTTTATGTATCAATGCATAAAAAGAAATTCTTTAAATATTTCAGCGATATGTTTAGTACTTACTCGTGAAAAACCATTATAGATATAAATGATTAAAATTATTAAATGACAATATAAGTAGCTTACGCTCGTAAAGCTTTCCAATGAAAGAGTGGTAAATTTTCCACAAGTAAACATAAATCCTTTTTGAGATCTTAAAATCAAAAGTACCAAAAGTCGCCTTTCACTCGGATGCAAATCATACCAGTCAATTTCGTATATCGTATCCCCAATCAGTTTACTCTAAAAATGAAGAGAATTTTAATTTTGGCATTAGGTAAATCAAATATTATATATATATTAGGGATGCGCGGTTACCCGAGATTACGAACTCGGGTCGGGTCGAGTCGGAGAAAGTCGGATGAAATCAGCCGAGTATTCGGTATCCTTCGTACTTTCACCCAAACCTACCCGATATTCTCCGATTCCACCTGAAGCTCGAGTACCCGGCGCATCTGCTTATTCACCAGGGTTGTGCGGACAATCGAACGTGTCGGGTCGGGTTCGGACGGGTACCCGACACATACATACATTCGAATAATCCGACTTTTTCGGTAGTTATATTTTCTCGTAATATGTATGCATAATTGAATTACCTTCGTATTCAAATATTCTCCAGAAAAACAATATATGAATATTTCCAAACAAATAACAACGTAGAAAAATACAGATCTAATTAGTAGAAACAGTCCGTTCTCAGTATGTACCGACTGTAATACAAATTTTACACAAATTAGAACACAAAAGTAACTTATTTATATTTATATAATGAAATATAAAGTGTCTAGTAGAATTATCATTGGAAACTATTAAAGATTCGAAAAACTTATCAATAAGAAGAAGGATATTGATATCCCTAACACATATGCACTTAATACGTTCAGGTCGGATTAAGTAAATCCATCCATACCGAAGAAGCAACGAGATTAAAAAGGGTTGTAAAATCGCACAAGCATGACAAAATACAAAATTCGATCCCCAAAGGGAAGATAGGGATCTGGAACACCAGATCAGTACTGTATAAACAAATACCGAGTAAAGTGTCAGCGTGCTCTATACAGTACAAAATATAACTATAAAATAGTATGGCGGAACTGAGCACCAGCGTCATCAAAAGAGTGCCGAGGTTTAATTTACAACCTCTCCTTATCTTAACCGAGGTGCACCTGTTACCCCAGACTCGACCGTGCTAGACCGGAATATGTACTTTATAGAGATTATTTACCATTACAATAAGGTATCCCAGACAGCAAGTGATCAAAGTGTTCGACGTAAGTTGGCTAAGAGTTATATATGTAAAAAGTTTCTCAATTCTGTCTGCAAATAGAATAATTTCTTTATGCCTGTTGATAAAAAAGTTTATTTGTTCCTTATTTTTGAGAGGATCATCCAATATCACTTTACACATAACGTTGATATGACAATCTAGATGAAGTACCTGCAAATGATAAATTTAATTCTAAACAATGTTAAGAAAAAATTTCTTTCTTCTTTGATAAGTAAGCTTTTCTAAAATCAAAGGAGAGAGGTACTCTGGTCAGGATTACCTTTGTACAGAATTATATTTATACCCACCACCATTAAGAGAGCAGCGTTAAACAGGCCAAACGTAAATCCCGATGTTAAAAGATGAAGAATTTGTGCGGATACCACTAGCTCGTAAGCGGGTGATTCGTTGGTCTCAAAAGGTAAATCCATTTGGAAGAGAAGCCGTCGCGTTGAATTGTCACCGACGTGCATTGTCAATATTTCCGTTAGGTAAAAAATTGAAGAAAATACGTAAGCTGACATAACTATAGTTGTAAAATATAAAGAAATACGTGCAGTTTTCGATATCAGATTATTCGTATCGATAGCAGCGTATTTTTGGCAATCTTCGTCCATTGTTGATAAAATGTCGCGAAGTAGACTGTGAAATAATATTTTCAAGCTATCAGTATTCAGGTAACTAGGACTTTCGGCTAGGGTTCCCTAGCTTTACTACACGCGTCAAGTGCCTATTGTTGAATTTATAAAATTCATTAATACTAATTATATATATTTTTTTTCAGAAGAATATAACTCACTCCTGATTAGTCCAAGCAACAATCAGTTTAATGCACACAAGACTGAATGGCATAGTGATGCTTAAGTTATCTATCAATTCCAAAAGACTGTCGGTATAGTAATGTTGGATAATGTATTTGTATTGGTAAGTTTGAAGTAAACCCATGGCTATTACCCAACAGAATTTACGCAGCCCTGGCAATGGAGTTCCAGGCCAAACACCAACAAAATGAAGACCATATCTAACTGATGGGCTAAGCGTACTCGGAAACGTCATTTCGTATAAATCTACTGTAAAAAATTGTTTCACCACTGACACCAGAAGAAATGCTTGGTCAATGTCTTATAAGATACTAAACTGTTGAAAAACAATGTTGTATCGAAAATCTAAGCTCACATGAATATCATAAATAATATTATGCAATGATCGTAGGGTTGTAGGAAATAGAAACACTCGAAGACAATGTTATTACTACTTCCGACAATCATGTATAATTTCTATTAATAATACATGGTATATATACGACACGCGAGTGCATAATAGATACTCGAATCACAGGTTGGAGGTTTCAAAGTTTTGGAGGCTTGGAAATACTAGTTTCATAAGTGCATAGTGAGTTAAAGTGCATGCAACTGAAACATACACTTTAGGTTTACAAAAATGAATTCTCTCTTCGGGGATTTCTCTTTGGTAATATTTTATTTACACTATTGTTGAGTTGCAAATTCGTGCTATATCTATTGCTGCAACTAGAAAATATTTTCCTTCGGATTTTATTCCATTGCGTAAAGTACCGAAACGTACGAGGCAGAAGTTTTCAACATCTATAAAACAAAATAGAGTATGTAACAATAAATAAGATATTTTTCAGAGGATTGTGTTTATATAATATAGAGGTAAATTTAGTGGACTTTGAAGAGACACGAGGTAATTAGAATCAAAGATACATAAGTAAAATAAGGAAAATAGATCTTCCCTTTGTTATCTTCACTTATTCTCCCATTTAGACTCTAAATTCTAGAGCCACCTCCACACTAGTATATTGGCGAACGCCAAGAATTTACTTACATTAGCAAAAGTCTCTAAGGAAAGATTGATGAATTTTCCAATGGTTAGGGTTAAAGGCCTCTGAGAACGTAATATTAATAATAAAAGAGTGCGGCATTCACGAATGCTTAACCGATACCAGTTAGAATTGTACGCGGTCCAACCTATGTTCTTACTCTATAAGAAGAAACAATAGTCTTAAATGATAATAACGATGAAACATTGTTATTTAAAATATTATCTTACTTTCGTGGTAAGGTATTCGCCAGTGTAACAAAGAATAAGTGCCTCCAAATGAACGATTACGTAGTAAGGAAAACATTTTGATATGGTTGTTGCTACTTCATCGGTATCTAATGACTAAAATAATAGAAAAATGTTATAGATATGAACTTTCACGGTGTTTGGTATAATTATACAATAATTGAATATACTAACAGTTACAAGAATGAAGCTTACGAAACAAATGACCACGGTGTTAAAGAAAAATTGTATCATTGATATGAACGTGAACACATCATCTATATTGTCGGATAAATCTAAAATTCTCTGGTGTTTCATAATGATATTATTAATTACAGGTACGCGTGATTCTTCTCCATTATCATCGTTCAGTATTTTCGTCAATCTTTCGCATACCATCTCGATTTGACTGGCTAGATGAAGTACCTAGAACCAGTGAAATAAAATTTTAAAAATTTATAAGAAGTTCTAATTTTTTGTCTGCAGAACTTCATTAAATCAACCCGCTTGACAGCGACTTAAGGCATCGTAGCACCACAGGTCGTATCTCAAATAATTGTTTCTTTATGTTACAATTTATCATATTATTGTTACTATTTAAAATTCAATTTATTTTTATATTTTGCAATTTTTGTGGTAACATATCTTCATAAAATACAAAAATCAACTCACAAGGGTTGCAATAAGAGTCATTAACATTCCTGCCATCAGGGTAAATGTTGACTGTGCGATGATTTGCAGCGTAACAATAATTTCGTAAATTGGTGAGATTGTTGCTTCAAAAGGAAGTTCCATTCTTAATAAGAATTTCCTTTCGTTGGGATGTAACGTTCCATCGTTGTCGTCGGGACCAAAAAATACACTTATAGAATATAAAGTGATGCTGAATGTGAATGATACAATCATAATCTTCGTAATACGATACGATAACGTGGCTTTGTTTATCATTACTTCCATATTCCATTCAGATTTACAATTATCCCAATCTTCTGCCATTATTGTCAAAGTTTCCGAAAAAACTCTGCATAAAATAATATCCACAGTCATATAGTTTTCGTACATTTATAATTAGATGTTGAATAATCTGTGAAGGGGATATTAAACTAGAATCAGTTTTTTCTTGCAATTTTTATTTGTTTAAAAGAGAAATAATGAGAAAAATAGAATGTATCTATTTGAAGAAGGTGTTTGAACTTCAAATTCAAATTGAAATATGTAATTTTAATTCTTGTAATTAATCAGGAAAAGAAATCGAAATGTATGTCTTACCGTCGGTGGGACCAAATAATAATAAACTTCAGAAGAAGAAGAGTGTTCGAAAAAGTGATGCTTAAGCCATCCAATAGGTCCGTTAAGGAATCTGTTTTGACATGGGTAATGCAGTACCAATATTGAAATATCAGGATCGTTGTCATCGTTGCTGACCAAACGATATGTTTTAAAATTGGATAGGAAGAATTTGGCCAGGCCCCAATCAAACGTAGACTGAATTCAACCGGGTGACTGATGATGCTTTTCCCCGTCATAAATATTTGCTTTTTATCCTATACTGCCACTCAAAGATTTAGGTGTACCTTGTAGAAAGTAAAATCTTGTTAAATTCGACTAATGAAACCTCACTTATAGTCATTTTTACTTATACTCGTTTCAGTTAATAGGAAACTTAGTAATTTATGAAAGTAAAATTAATTTAATTTATTGAAATTATGTAGGTGTCAGGTTGGGCCTCTAAAAATGTAGACTGACCCCTTAATCATTCTAAAATTTTTAGACTTTGAGACTCTAAAATCCTAAACTTCTCTCGTCAAATTTTATATCAATAGAAATAAATATTTCGCTCCAAATGAAATGTGAAATACAATTGAAACCAAAAGATACAATAATAATATTTATTAAAACTAATGTCCTTAGTGACATTATGAATAAAAAATGAAGAAATATTAAAATTAAGTAGTTTTCACTGTGGCATCCAACCTGTTAAATTTATGAGTCTAGTTACACGAAAATTTGTCTTAGTTGAATTGAATCATATTCGACCGATTACTGTGTACTGGAGAACATTTTACTGGAAATAAAGACTGAACTTTCATAGAAATAAAACATCCTTTATCGATCGAATACAATTATCTGTGCTGTATCATAAAGTGCTTAATGCTCACACAATTTATAGTTATCTTAGCAATTACACTGCTAACAAAAGAAGAAGAAGAAGAAGAAGAAGAAGTAAAGGTGGTATTCTAGACTTTCCCACAGGCCATATTATGAGCTATTTACATTAAAAATACAAACTGATAGGTTACAATGATACGTATACCTATATTTATTTGCTCCCTTTGGAAAGACACTTTTTCAAACGAACAGTCTTTCGTATGACAAAATTTATTCGCGTAATACAACTTCTTACGTCCATCGTTGTTAGGATTTCTAAGTCTCAGAGGAGATGGTAGCGACATGGGTCACCATAATTTAAAATTTTTGTGAAGCATTTGTTCAATTGTTTAAAAAAAGTTATTATTAACAGATAAAGTGTTCTTTCTTCTATAAAACTCGAAGAAAACTTAAAATCAAGTCCGCAGTACTGACGAATCGAATAAGGTAACATACGTGAGATGCAACTACTATGAATGTAGTATCAAATTATTGGCACGTGATAAGGATTGACAAAATGGTAAATCAATAGTTTAGTCTGCACATTCATTTAGAATTTCTTACTGCAGAAACGGATATAAAAAATTTTTTAAATAATAAAAGAGAGCAAATTGAAAAAGTGACAACTAAAAATAGAAACCCGAATAATTAACTAATCAAATTAATGCAGGAACTCTATACTAAACTAGAAAATGATGGCAGCTGTAGGTGACATTAAACTTACGTTGAAAAAGAAGAAAAGGAAATTGTAATAAGATTTCGTTTCGAGGTACTATTAATAAATACATTTATTGAAATTTGTTGTAACATACACTATCATTAAAACATTGTTACATGTAAAAATCTTCAATTTCAAGCCGTAATCTTATAAATTTGTCGACACATGTACATAACAATTTCTTTCCCATTCAGAAAAATTGTATAAAAAATATTTCTATAAATCGCATGGAAGACACATATTTTTAAAATTGACTTCGTCTTGTGTTATACTTTTCACATTAAATAACAAATAGCGCAAATTACATAATGGCAGTGAACGTAGTTATAAAATCAAAGGAAATCACTTCTAATATCCTGCTTTATCACGATACAAAAATATTTTCCTTATATTTTTCACGCATTAAATAATTTCTCGTCGTTTGTAAATTTTTTTAAAATTTGATACAGTGCAAAGTAAAAAAATTAATTGTACGGGCTAATGATTTCATTGTTGAACTTTTCAGTATCTATTACGATTTAGTTTTATTTACCGTAAAAAAATATAGTTAGCGCATATAAGATCATACAAACTATAACAATTGACTATGTAAGTGTTATTTACATTCCGTTATAAGCTGGACCACCCCCACCTTCCGGTACAACCCAGTTAATATTTTGACTTGGATCCTTAATGTCACATGTTTTGCAATGAATGCAATTTTGAGCGTTGATTTGTAGCCGTTCTCCATCTCCAGATTCTAGTGGTACAAATTCATATACACCTAGAAAGAAACAACAACAAATGGAACATGTTCTAAAATGTTAATTTAAGCCCTCCCTAACTTTTATCTTCTCATATTTCATTGGGAAGAAAACCTGCGACATCAAAGTCAACAAATGATCGATTTAACGTGGAATGACCCCAAAGAAAACCCACCAAGAGTTTCATTTCGAAGGTCAAATCCATACCCTCCGCCAGACAGTCGATAAACCGCCCCCACCATAATCCAGACGTTCTAGCCGTATCCTGTAGGAAAACAACTCCCTATCAGACTCCTCCCTATTTCCCCGACTACCAGTTTTAGGGAAATGAAAACTCGGTTCGTAACAGAGAAAGAAAAAATATTGATAATGAGAGCAACAGGCACATTGAAACTTTATATTTTTTCGCTTACAAATCCTAATAATTTTATTCAACCCTTAAGTACCATGATAGGATCAGATTTGGTTCTGTTAAAATTATAGTTTCTCTACAAAGAACTAGATAACGTTATTCAAGTAAATGTTATTCGAACTTACTGTTCCTATCAAGAAAAAAGTAAAAATAAAAATTATAAAATACTGCTACTTTAAATTGGTATTCCAAAATTTCAAGGTTCCAAAGTTTATAATGCGAAAAGTAGAAAAATTGATAAAATATAAAAAGTTAAACATAAATCAAGTGCTTTAGCTCTAAAATTAAAAAAAAATTCAAATTAATTGATTTATGATTTGTGACATGTCTGTATCTAAGTCAATGTCTGAATTTATAGGCACGAACAAAATGGTATTCTATGGCAAGGTTGTTGGCCGCAGCACTTTGAATTCGAGAAGTGAGCTTGGTTGAGGGTAGTCTAGCCGTGAGGGGTGCCCGGATGGCCCAAGTTCAAGGACACATCGCTCGATAAACCCAGACGAAACTGAGAGAGGGAGAAAACAGAGATGAAGGATTGGAAGCGGAAAGAAAAGAAGAGAAAAAAATTGTGGACGAAAGGAAGCAATTTTTATGAAAAGGTAAATGCATAAGTATATAGAAAAAAAAAATTGGGAATGATGAAAATTAATTGCGCATTATTATCAGGCTACAGATGTTCGTGCAAAAGCATATTTTTATAAGAAATAAGTAAGAGAAAGGAACCTAGATAATATTTTAGTTATTAAATGCAGATTCGGCTGCTTGATTACTATATTTAAAATCACAAACAGTTTAATACGAATTATGAATTCATTTTTATATTTCTGTAAAAGTAAAAAGTATTAAGTTCATAATCCACTATCACCTTCTGCAAAAGCATTCTTCCTAAGTCTGAGAAATGGACAAAAAGCTTATAATCAACTATATGTACAAGTATTAAATACATTTATGACTTACCTGCGGGACAAAATCGACTTTCTGGTCCAGCAAATATTGCTAAATTTCTTTTCACTGGTATAGTATCATCTGCCAAGGTAAGATGAGGAGGTTGATCATCTTCATGATTTGTACCAGTGAGAGCCACAGAAGATAGTAAATCAAAAGATATTACATTATCTGGTTTTGGATACTCAATTGGTGTACTCTCAGCAGCTGGTTTTAATTTTTTGCAATCGAGACCTACAAAATTGCCGTTGATAGTAACGAATACATTTCTTATATTTTATCAATTAATTGATCTATAAGCTGTTGTACCCCCGTGAGAGAAAGTCCATGGCTCTCGTCCACCAACTAACATCGAAAATCCAGAATATAACAAACCACCGTAAAGACCAAGACTCGTGTGAAAACTTGGTCTTATATTTCTTACAGCTTTTAATTCCTTATAAATCCAACTATTCTTGACTTTTTCAGTATAAGTTTTCGGTTCTAAACCTTTTGTCGGTGAGGGATTATTTTCCGCCTCTATAATAGATTCAATTACACTTTCTGCTGCAAGCATTCCACTTTTCATGGCATTATGCGTTCCTTTAATTTTGGGAACGTTAAGAAATCCCGCCGTACAACCAATAAGGCAGCCGCCAGGAAACTGAAGTTTAGGAATAGATTGAAAACCACCTTCTACTAATGCTCTTGCCCCATAAGCAATTCTAAAATAGCAATTAAAGATTTGCAAAACCAGTAACTAGATTTTCATAATTATAAAAGTACTTTAGACTCAAATTCACCTCTTTCCTCCTTCAAGTACCGATCTAATACTTGGATGATGTTTAAATCTTTGAAATTCTTTAAATGGATGTAAGTAAGGGTTAGCATAATCTAAGCCAATAACAAAACCAATGGCTATAAGAGGTGTATCTTCGTTGAGGTGATACAAAAAGGAACCGCCGTAAGTATCTTTTCTCAGTGGCCAGCCAACAGTATGCTCTATAGTTCCAGGCGCATGTTTCTCCGGACTAATTTCCCAGATCTATTAACAGCGCTTTTTTTCTCACATTTATCGCTCCGATTAAAAGTAAGTACATGAAAATTTTATGCTAATTACCTCTTTCAATCCTATGCCATAAGTTTGAGGTTCGCAATCCTTTCTAAGATCTAGTTTCTTTGATACTTGTTTTGTAAGATGACCATGGCATCCTTCTGCAAAGATCGTACATTTTGCATGCAGTTCCATTCCACGTTCAAAGGTTTCCTTTGGAGAACCATCCTTAGCAATACCAACATCATTTGTAGCAATTCCCTTAATAGATCCATCCTCATGATAAAGTACTTCTGCTGCAGCATATCCTGGATATAATTCTACTCCTGCAGCTTCTGCTTGTTCTCCAAGCCAAGCTACAACGTGACCTAATCTAAAAAAGATAGCAATTAAACAAAAAAAAAATTATTTTCAATATATAAACAAAAATGTGTACATTTAATTTATTACCTAACAATATAATTTCCATGATTATGCATTGGCATTCCTTTCAAAATAGGTACTGATATTCTGCCTTTTTCAGTGAG